CGTATCTATTATCGAACCGACGTATTAGCTAAGGGTTCTTAATAGGGCGACCGCTACAGCGGGATAATTAGGGAGTTCCCCGGGTTAAGCGCAACGACGGTAATATCGGAGTAGGACGGCTAGGTATCCGGCGTAGATATAGTACCCGGTCTAAGGTAGCCGTAGCGATCCCCTCTAGGGTATTAAAATCGTACCTAGCTATATAGCTAGGTAATAGAGAGTATATAGTGTTCAAAGTACGACTACTATACGGCGTACGAAGCACTGTACGACCGACCGTCGAACAGCGAGGGGTCTCGCGAGCTACTAGTTAGCGACGAGCCGCCGGGGTGCGCGCTAGTAAGTCTCGGATAGGGACCGCCGGACGAGCAGTAGGACAAGTAGTCGCCGTAGGACCGCTACGCAGACGAGAGGGCGTATCGTTAGTCGAGGCGGGAATAACACTAGCCTTAGGTCGATATAGGCTAGGAAGGGCGTCTCGAACAAAGTCTAGTAATACGGGACCCCGCTCTAGGGATAGGGTAACCTCGCGTACCTTCTCGCCGCGCCGACGAGAGGTTACTAGCGTCGGGACCGTAGCTGGAAGCTCCTTATCGTTAGACGAATATACTATAGGGCGACTACCCCGACGGCGACTCCGACCTATAGGGGGTGCTAGTAGGGTTGCTTAAGGACGGGGCGATGCGCGGGGAACCGCCGGGGCCTCGTCTAGGTATAATACTATAGTAGGCACTACCTAGTAGAACCTCGTACGCGTCTAGTTGAAGGCGTCTACCGCGGTGGTAGAGGGACGCTACGATAGGGTTAGCTAGTTCCCGAAAACGGGGAGCGTCGTCAAAGACTTACCGCTAACGACCCTTAGAGGCGTTCTAAGGGTCCCTATACGGGATAGCGTCCTAGCGAACGCAATTGCTTTAAGAGCAGCAAGCCTTAGTAGTCTTAGGTCGACCGTAGCGCGAGAGTAGGCCTACCTACGGTAGTCCCTATACGGTAGTACGCTACCTTAATAGTATAGATCTCTCTGTTAAGGGTTCGCGCTATAAGATAGAGGCGTACTGCCTAGCGACAGTACTCCTCGTCGCCCTCCGCGAGGGCGCGCGCGTCCTCTATAGAGCTTGCCGGGTAACTAGCTGTAACCTCTTTCCAGATCTTATTACAGGCATCCTTCTAGCGTTAGACGGCGATTACCTTGTTTAAGAGTCTTAGTACGGTCTATATACAAACTCGTTAGCAAGGCGAACCCCTAGCGAGGCGGACGGACACTTACCCTTCCTATACTATTATATCCTGCCTTGTTGTTGTTCGCGTAGCTGTCGTATATACGGTATACCGGCGTATTATACACTCGCCCTATAGCGATCGACTTTGCGCACCGTAGGCATATAGCTACGTACCCGGTTTCGTCTTAGTCGGCGTCCGACTAGCTATAGTCCTAGTTATTAGGCACTATATCCTTTATGTATACAGCGGAGAAAGGAATCGTTACGCACCCCCGGGTAAACGCTATAATAGTCGGAGGGGCCTAATAAAGCGGCGGAGCCGGCGAGGGAAACTAAGGGACGAAGCGGGGCTGTAAAGAGTAAACGAAGAACGAGAAGTAGAAGTATAGCTGTCTGGATACGGTAGTAGTAATAGAGCTACAGGCAGGTAAGGATATTGGTACGTAGTAGGTTATTAACAGGAAAGGAATAAGAGGATCGTAGAACGCGCGACGAACCTATTGAAATATTCTATCTCTATAGCGACACTACCGCGCACTCCTAACTACTACCTACGGAATTCGCGACGCGACTATAAGCAAATATTCTTAGCGACGCTTTACGATAGCGCGAACATAAGAGGGAATTTGTATACAATATTTACTAATACTAAGGCATAGACATTCCGTAGGTGTACGCTAGCTCTATACGGCACCTAGATAAGAGCAGACGTCTACCCCCGTTCGTAGGGCGAATACGTAGGGGACTAATAACCTATCGCTACTAGAGATATTAGCCCTAAGAGAGGGCGTCTGTAATACGCTAGGGCAGAGAAGCCCTAGCGAACCCCCGGCGAGGCAGGCGGGGCGTGCCGCGCGGGACGGGAAGCCCTCGCAGACCCCCGGCGATCCGGTATAGAAGGGATGCCCTACCGATCGGAGACGTTCTGAATCAAGAGGGTTCCTAAGGGAACCGGTTATCGGCTACTACCTAAGAGGAGGCGGTGCCGGTAGCGAGGAGTAGACAATAGAATAGCTTGTGTATATAGCGAGGGCCCTCCTCTAGGAAGGAAGGGCAGAGTTATTATGCCTTAGTTAGCAAGCCGTACATTGTTTATACCTTTCATACCTTGGACCTCTGTTACGTATACCCTTACGCTCATAGAACTATTACAGTTCTTCTTTGCTAAATTTTAGGCAGAGTAGCCTATAGGGATAGAGAGGCAGTTTTTTAAGGTAGTAACGTATTAGGTCTAGAAGATTTTAAGTACGCCCTAAGCTTAGAAAAAAGAAGAAGAGATAGAGAGAAGAGACAAGAGACAAGAGACAAGAGACAAGAGACAAGAGACAAGAGACAAGAGACAAGAGACAAGAGACAAGAGACAAGAGATATATACGTACGTATATACGCGTATAAAAATTGATTAGTATATACTCCGTACTACTAATAGGCAGGCGCGTAGGATATATTATTATATATCTACTAATTGTTGTCGTCGGCTATACTTGTATCCGTTTAGCTAATTAGAGGCTAGAGAATTGCTATTAGGGTTATACGTAAATTTGTATATATATAGTACTAATCGACTTAGATTAATATATATATATATATATATCGTATATATAGAATTTGTAGAATTCCGACGTTTACGTATATTTAGGTATAGTATACAACATACGTAGAGGGCATAAACTATAGGTAGGGAAAAAGATTAGCCTCTACGTTAGCAAGATTAGCCGACGTTCCGTACTACTAATAGGCCTACCTATAGAATATATTTCTAGAAGATAGGCCGTAAGGTATATACTGCTCTTTACTATAGTATATTAGTACTTAGTATTAGGCGCAATATAGTGCTTACTTATATAGTACTTACTCGGAATAGCTATACAAGTATATAGTCTTAGCTAAACTGTGCCTAGATATTTGTTAGTAACGAAAGTATAGTAGAGAGAGTTGTTTTGATATACTTAGGTAAAGTAGGAGCATGTTTGTTAGTATAGAACGACGGCCTTCCCTTCCGAAGCGAAGCGTAGGTTAGAGAAGGGGAGAGTAGAGTACTAATCAATTAGCAAAACGTATATATATATAGCTGTATATAGCTAGAAATTCCGCTAGGGCTAAGGGCAGACCCTAAAACATCTAGTCGTAGACCCTATTTCTAAGTTATTAAGTTATTACCGTACCCTTACAATATTACCTTCCTAGTAGCTACCTTCTATAGCTTTACTTTATATTATACCCTAAAGGATACCCCTCTCGATTCTAAGCCCCCCTTAGGGGGTTAGAGGGGCAATCTAGTTAGTACCTCCGAGGTATTCGGTACCTCCGAGGCATTAAGCATTTATTAGGAAGAGAACTCCTAGGGTAGAGAAAGCGGAGGCTACAAGCCTCGAGGGAGGAGAAGCGTTAGTTTTAGGGAGTAGGGTTATAGCGGAAGGGTACGGTAATAACTTAATGACTTAGAAATAGGGTCTACGACTAGACATTTTAGAGTCTGCCCTTAGCCCTAGCGGGAAATTCCAGAAAGCGTACGCTCTAATTAGCGCGATCCTTTAGAGTAGGGCGCGCTAAATTTACTAGGCCTAAAGCGTTACTACCTTAAAAAAAAGAGGCCCGCCGTAGGCGCAAAGCAAGAGGTACCTACCTGCCTACTATCTGTCCCTATAGGCTACCTTGCCTAAAATTCAGAAGAGAAGGAACATAGAAGAGAAGAAGCGAAGAGAAGAGAAGAACTAGAAGAACCAAAAAGGGAAGAGAAGAACCAAAGAGAAGAGAAGAACCAAAGAGAAGAGAAGAACTAAAGAGAAGAGAAGAACCAAAGAGGAGAGAAGGATAAGGACGAGGACGAGGACGAGGACGAGGACGAGGAGATAGAGATAGAGATAGAGATAGAGATAGAGATAGACATGCGCGCGCTGTACGCGCGCGAAAATTGAGATTAGTACCTATAGTATATACTCCGTACTACTAATAGGCAGGCCTATAGGACATATTATACTATTATATATATAACGTAAAGATATATACAATGTATACAATACAGTAAGATTACTTAATAACTTAGAATAGGGTCTATAACTAGATAGGAATAGAGTCTACCTATAGTCCTTATATAAAACTTCTAGAGAGCGTACGCTCTAATTAGCGTATCCTTTATAGCTAAATCTACTAAGCCTAATATATTATACTACCCTAAAAAAACCCTACTATAGGTATAAAGAAAAGAAAGCCCTATATAGTAGCTACCTACCTGCCTGCCTACCTATCTACCTACCTGCCTACCTGTCTGTCCCTATAGGCTACCTTACCTAAAATTTAGAAGAGAAGGACAAAAAGAAGAGAAGCCTAAGGACAAGGAGAAGGAGGAGAAGGAGGAGGTAGAGATAGAGATAGAGATAGAGATAGAGAAGTATAGGAAGAAGCCTACTAAGAAGCCTAGGAAGAAGCCTACTAACAAGCCTACTAAGAAGCCTACTACGAATCCTACTAGGAAGAAGCCTAGAAAGAAGCCTAGGAAGAAGCCTAGGAAGAAAGATAGCGATAGAGAGATAGCAATACAGCGGTAGAGAGAGATAAAATATACGTACTATAAAAATTGAGATTGGTACGTACTCTATACTACTAACAGGTAGGCGTATAGGATATATATAACAGCCTCAAACAGACACCGTATCGACATATACTAAGCGTCTTATACATATTCTTAAGCGACTACTGTATAACTACAACGCTAACACAAGTACGAGCCTCCTAAGGACTCCGGTAAGGTAGTCTTCTCGTCAAGCTCAGCAGAATACAATGCTCCCTGTTCTACCGGAAACGCAATACGACGCAAGTCGCAGACGACCCGAAATTACATCGAAAGCCGACCTTACGGATCTTTGTGAGATCGAGGATATTCAGACGGGCGTGGTCACAAGTTCGACCTTCTCGTTTGTTGACGCCAGCGATCATGTCTGGTTTGGCCAAGTCCCTAACGTCCGAAAGTACGATCTCACAGTGGAGGACTTACGAAACAATCTTCTTGAAATTCCCGATGAGACTGTGTATCCAAAAGTCGTCCCTGGTCTGACCCTGCTTCCGGACGACGTTCAGAAGGAAAATCTCTACATCAAGCGGCCCAAACTCCTCTGTCTGGACAGTCCGGAAGAGACTCAGTTGCTGCCACGTATGCTTCTCGAGGAAGCTTTCACTTTGGAATATCTCAAGAGCAGCGAGAACAAATACTTAGTACATTACCATGGGTGTCTCTCCAGGCGAGGTAGAATCGTTGGTATTGCCTTGGAGAAGTATGAGCAGATACTGCAGTATCGGTTCGAGGACGACCCGCGGGAATTTGACATCGCCGCTTGTGTTAACGGCATACGAGACGGTATCGCGCATTTGCACTCACTGGGCTATGCGCACAACGATCTCAATCCCATGAACATCGCCCTCGACAAATTTGACCAGCCTGTAGTTCTTGATTTCGGATCATGCAGGAAGTTTGGTGAACAGCTATTGTCGGGAGGCACGCCGGGCTGGATTGACGAGGACTACAGTATTTCTGCCTGCCAGCACGATGAGAGTGCGTTGAAGAAGATAGAGTTGTGGTTACAGCAGAACAACTCGACGAGGACGACTGCGGTACCAAGCTTGCGTTGCGAAAGTGTACCGCTCTCGGAAAAGGTATAATACAGACGGGATCTACCTACATGGAGGATGCCTATGCTGTTCCGTGCCCTCTTCCCTACTTAGCTTTATAGGACTTCGCTTGGTCACAGCGATGGCAGGTATACCGAGCAAATCGAGAAGAAAACGGAACGTCGGTAGCCACGGCGCGGAACACAGCATACGTGAGGATCCGAAACAAAAATACCGTTTGCATCGAGAACTGCGAAAAGGCCGAGAGCACATACGCTACCCTGCTTCGTACAGAGCGCATCGGACTACATGACTACATACCTGCACTGGCGGAAAGTGCCTGACTGTCCAAGCCCCTTATGCGATTCTAGATAGCCACGGCAGACGGCGAAGCATATTGTACTCTTCTGTCCCCGATATGCACGCGATCGTAACAAAATAATCCGGGACGCAAAGTCGAGCGATTTCGCAACCATGCGCTTTCGACCGAGAATGAATAGTATCCGAGCGGTAACGAAGTGGTTTTTTTCGGCAAGATATCTGAGCCGTCGACCAGCACGGCGAGTCTGCTACTGCGTGCAAGGAGGGAGTCGTATTTGCGTTGGCCCTGAGATCGCAACAGCTACAGCAACTTACAGATGGAAGTATTGCGTTGGGAAAGCACTGAAACTCCATGTGTCTATATGAGGCCGCGTCTGATTATCTACTCAGGTAGCTGTTCTTGGCAGTGAAGATGCGTGAATAAGTTACGATAGGTATGTAGATGACTGTTAGTTGTAGAGCTATCAATAGGAATGGAAGCTTTCGCAACCAAGAATGTAGTGACTGACTACCCTCCACTTCCATTACAGTAGCTTCGCTGATTTTGACCGTTGCGTTCAGATTCAGCACCAAACCCGCCCGCTTAAGGTTCATTGTATCTTGTGCTTCCTCGCTAAGTATTCGCCATATCCGAGGGAGCTGTCATTGCCTTGGCTTGAGGCGTAGGAAATTTCCGGTCGTTGTTTAGTTGCAATCACTACAGTGGTCCTGCGGGCAGATCAGCTTACACGAAACTTCAAGTCTACGAGTACTATAAGACTTACACAATGATCACTGTGGCACATGTCTGACTTGGTTAGATAAGCGAATCTGCAGCGTATACAGTTCCAGTCGGCTCCGTCTAGGACCTCGTTCTCTTGTAGGGTTGCAATAGCGACTGCTACTGCTAGTGACGCCAAAGATATAATGGCGTAGAGAGTCGAGAACTTCATGATTGTTTAGCCGCAACAGTGTGACTGCGGGCAGATTAGCTTATACGAAACTTCAAATCTACGAGAGGTACTATAAGACTTACACAATGTTGACTTTGGCACTCCTGATTCTTGCCTGCGTAATAAAATCCGCAGCGTACACAGTTCCAGTCCTCACTTTCTCCGTCTAGGACCTCGTTTATTTGTAGGGTTCCAATAGCGGCTGCTGCTGCCAGTGACGCCAAAGATATAATAGTGTAGAGAGTCGAGAACTTCATGATGGTACCAGCTGCGGTATTGTTGTGGCTTTTGAAAACTTCTCACTGAGCCCTCGGTGATGATAGTTTCTAATATATCATGGGTACATTCAGATGTATCTTTTCGCCAGTAATTCGGCCGATACAACTTCTGTCGGTTGCAACATCGGAGCCAGGCATGTAGTCTTGAAGGTTTGCGCGTCTACTACCACTCCTGCGCAGTCTAGGGCCACGTGGCGCGTATAATTCGTGAATGCCGTTGTCGATCAAAGCCCCGGGAGTTGTTTGCAACGTACGAGGATCGTGCATTATCATCTAAGAGGTAGAAGGAGGTAGAAGGAGGTAGAAGGAGGTAGAAGGTAGGAGGTACTTCTAGCTATCAACTGGAGTGTGGACTTCCAGGATCGGTATCGCTCGATTTTGTCCTCACCTGATCGGGAGCGTTGTCAGGCATGATCAGAGCAAGGGTCACAGCTGGCAAAGGTACGTTACAGTGCAACGACAGTCGTATATCCTATAACATCCTGTTGAAACCATGTAACATACCTAGGTAGCATGAATCAGGCCACATGGGTTTATGATACAAACAGCTAAAAAGTATATAGCTTTCTTGCCCTAATGATCCCGGTATGTCGTTCTTATAATCGCCGATACAATATACATCAAGGGAGTACTGTACAGTAGCGATAGAGTTCTTCGACCCGGTGCCAACTTGTCGAGCGCCTACTCGCTAGGAGGATATGTTGGTCTCCGTCCTGTATAGGTCCCTATCGAATATCCTACCGAAATCGCTCCGTCTACTCGGTCAAGATAAACTTTTGCTCTTCGCTGAACACGAGTTGTTGGACTGCCAGGGTGAGCTTAGGTTTTAGGGCTACGAAGAATGCTTCGTGTATGATCGGTGATCCGTTTCTCATATCGGCAGCCGTAATGCTGCCACCCGAAGAGCAGCGAATGTGTGATAGCTTGGGACCGTAGGGCGACCCCAAGGAAAACAGCGAGTTTCGTGGTCCGACCCTCGCTCTGTTCCCGAAACCGCAAGCAGTAGCACCAACAAGGACCACACATTTCCCTTGGAGAATGGTTTCGGCGGTTGCAGCGATTGATGTCCATAGTCCTGCCATCACCTTGCACGCCAACCTTGTCCGCATAGGGTTGCATACGGGGCAGCTTCTCGCCAGGAGACCGCCTTTCATTCGTCTAATTGGTGACTGGTATCGCTCGGTCAAGATGGACCTTCGTGGTCTCACAGAAACACCGGGGGGGCTACTATACATATCAGAAACAAGCAGCGGCGCAGCGACGCAGTATTCGGGGACGTCGGGGTTACCGAGCGTTAAGTCGTAATGTATCTGACCGAACTCTACCTCGCACTCGCCTTCTTCCTGCTCTTCTCCGCGTCCCTCTTCGCTTTAACCCTCTCGTAATCTCTGCTGGCAGCTCCCTCCTCGCTTTGCACTTCAGCGACGAGTTTCCGATACTTCTTCTCGTACTCCGCGTCTCTTTCCCTCTTGTCTTTGAGTTGTTCCCTCGCGACAAAGTTCGCATCTTTCCTCAGTTCTCTCAAGGCACCCTTGCGTTCCCGTTTAAACTCCTTCTGCAACTTAGTCGAATCAGATCGTTCCTTATCTGGATCATAGTGCTTATCAGGATTGAAGTTCTCTTCAAACTTGGGTATACTCGTTCGAATAGGTTGAGCTCTATGATGATGCAGTTCGAGTGGTCGTCGCGCTGTGCGAGTTTGTTGGATGAGGATGGAAATGTGTCGGTGAGGTTTCTTGACGTTCAAGTCTCGGAAGATGCGGTTCTGACCGAGCTTATCTAAGATTGGCAGAGCAGGCGAGAACATCTCGACGAATGCGGACTTGTCTTTCCAGAGGTCGGCCAAGGCTGCCAAGTTCGCGAGATGAGACTGGAAGACCTGTTGCTCCGTAACGACACAGGCTTTGCCAGGAAGTAATGCGCGAATGGTGAAGCGGAGTGCTTCTGGAATATATCGCTTGCTAAGAGCCTGGTATTTGAGGCACAGCGCGACGAGGAAAGCTCCAGTTGCCAGTGTCTGTACATCGGCTGGCTTCGACATCGTAGGAACATTGAGCGCAAGCCAGCGGGCAATCAGGGTAATGGCAGGGGTGACGACTTGATGCCAATGATCAGAAGTTGGATATATGGAACTGATCGCGGTGAGCTGCACCAGGTCTCCCGGGGTGGGTTGACCGCGTTTGTGAAATGCGGCAAGGACTTTCCGAAATGCTTCGCCAATCTGCGTGGGGTACGTACGTGACAAAGAATGCAGATGTCTGATGACCTGTTCAATGATTGCCATCGGTTGCTGGTTCTCTGCCATCCACGAAAGATGTTCGACAAGTGCGCACGAAAAGTCCGCCATTCCCTCCTTATTTGAAGCAGACAGAGATGGATGATACAGCGCCCGCACCCGCTGAATCACAGTTGTGAGCTTGTCAGCAGGCAGATCTTTCACGATGTTCAGCAGCTCGGCATGAGATCGTGGACACGAGTATGTGTAGGGAAGACCAGATGTATCCTGGCCAGATCTTCGTTCTCCCAGTGCACTCGTATTGGCACCAGTCGGTGCTGTTGCACCCAGAGCTTCCCTGACGAATTCGTCTTCTTCGTGTGCCTCAGTATCAGCAGCTCCATTCTCGCTACCACTCAGGTCAGACTCGTCTCCACTAATGTCAACATCAGAGTCATTCGCTACGAGATCTTCATCGAAATAGAAATCGTCTTCATCTGGTTGGATGGCGCGCTCTGGTTTCTGCTGTGCCAGTGAATTCGTAAAGCCAAACTCCTCGGCTTGGTCTGGAATGTTCTCGTCGTCTCCTTCCGGCTGTGCATCGGTCTCTTTCGTTACGTCTTCATCGTCAGTAACCTCCTCGCCGCGCATGCGCTTCAACCTCTTCTCTTCCAGCGCTTTCACCTTCTGCGCCTCTTTAAGTACTTTCTCCTCCGCAGTCAAGGTCTTGTTCGAGGGCTTCGCTCGCGCATCTGTCGCGAGCTGTTTCATGCGGATGTCGTACTCCTTGTCCGCTTTATCTCGGTCCATACCGTCTAGTAATCGCTGTCGATCTGCATTGATCACAGGTCCGTCGCCGTTCACAGCTGCGGAGTGGTCCTGTTTGGGCGGAGCCAGTGCCTTCTTGGATCCCTTCAACAGATTGTATATCTCATCAAAGCCTTTGTCGAGCTCTTCACGCAAATCTTCGTCGTCCTCTTTCGCTTTTTGTCTTTCATACTTGTGCATTTTCGACTTTGCAATGACTTCTTCCATGACCTCCTTCTTCGTCTTCTTGCGCTCTGGCTCGTTCTCTTCAGCGCCACCACCGAAAAATTTCTCTTCATCAACATCGCTCCGCCTCCTCTTCTTGCGAAATAATCCCCCGTTACTGCCCTCATCATCGCTTCCACCGGACACAATCCCATCAAAGTCATCTCCCGCGAGTTCGCCAACTCCCTTGCCTCCGTGAGTGAGTCGAAAGCCGCCACTGGCCTCATCGTCTTCATCTTCCAAATCAAACATGCTTCTTCCCTTCGTCTTGCGCTCCTGCTCCCGTGCGAACCTCGCCGCCGCTCTCTCTTCAGGCGTCATATCCGCATCTCCCTCGCCAATGCGCCGGTCGACCAGTCCGCCGACTTTGTTTCGTCGCCTCAACTCTGGTAGAAGCGTTGCTCTGCGCATTTCCTCGCCCGCGGATTTGGACACGCCAGGCCGGTGCAGCGCAGCTTTGTACTTGCCTGAGCCGGGTCCATTACTGGCAGAGGCATGCTCGAATTTGGTCGGTCGTGAGTTGGTGGGTTTCAGTTCGAAAGGATTGAATGAGTCACGAATGGTCTGTAGCGTGGCGGCGCGATCGTTGCGATGGGTCTGGTCCTTCGACGAAGCGATTTGCTTTTTCTGTTTTTTTGATTTCTGGGGTCCTGTCACGCCAGAGTCGCGGAGGCTCTGCTTGAGCCTCTTCAACTGTGATGCCGGCATGTTGGTTGTGTGTCGAGATGGAAAGACCTTCTCTCAACCTCAAGTGCTGCTTGGAAGTTCCGATGAACTTTTCTGGCAGATTTGGGCAGGGTCAAGTCGCTGAGCTGAAGGGAGCGGGCCGACGGAGCGAGCCGGGGCCGAGTAGCCGGGAAGCGGTTGCCTCTGCCGATGATGCTGTCACTCCCACCTCCCACGAACTCACTGCCAAATTCGTATCCCGCGTCAACAGGAGCAGCAGCAGCAGCAGCAGTCGACACCATGTGCAGGACACTTCGCGCATCACCAATACCATGGCATTGCGAGTCGAAGAGCGCTGGCTGTGGCTCGGCCTGGGCGTCTTCGTCGTCGCCGCCGCCGCCAAGGGCATCCACCACGCCCTGACCGATATGGTGCGCTTCACCGAGCTCGATCCGGCACAGTTCCCCGCCGACGACCACCATCGCCACCATGGCAAGCATCCCGACGAATGCGTCGACCTGCGGACCCTTCGAACGCTCTGCATGTCGCCCAACCCGTCCATCGCAGCAGCAGCGCAATCTCTGGTCATGCGCCGGTTTGCCGCCCTTCCAAACGCAGCAGAAATACTCACACGAGACCGCGAATCCGAAGACCCCGACACCAGCCGAAAAGCGGTGCAGGCTATCAAATACCTCCGTGACTACGATATGGAGTTTGGCATTTCCATGCCCCCCCACATGAGTCTTGATGATACCATGGACTTTCTGAATACTATGAACCATGATCCCGATGTTGCGGTCGACGAGGTCACCTACAGGGATGAAAATGGAGAGTCCACCGTCATGCACGGGACCGATTGGGATAGTATGGCCCGAGAGCTCAACAGACGGCAACATGCTTTTGATGCCGACCGAGGTTTTGATGTTGTCGCGAGGCTCGAGGAGCTCAGTGAGGAGATCGCAAGGACAGAGAGGAATACGGGACTTCTGCAAGCTAGAATTGGGTGGGATGGATCTTCAGCCTCTCGAGAGCCATTTGCCATCACGGGTGGCGGGCGCGATGAAAGGCGAAGGAGACACAGAGAAGTCATGGTACTGCACGAAGGCAATGGCAGAATTGAAGAGGAGGATATCATCTCTCCGTCATCCCTTCGAAGGCTGTGAGAGCACATCTAAGGCTTCGTCTAAGGCGACAGCAGTATTCCGTAGGCGCTGCTTGCTATTTTCTCCAATCATTGGGACATTAAACCGCAGCAGGGTGAGTTCGGATGGGCACGATCCTCCAGATTTAGCGAAGTTACCAGTGGTCCTGTTGCAGGATTACTGTCATCGGCTGTGTGTACACATATATATGTATATATAGTAACATTCCAATGAGCGTTATGGGGGCATGGCCAGTTCCTCACCAATGGGATGCCGTTGAGGTCACCGTCTGTTGCACGCGGACCATGATGGATATCTAAGCGAACCACTACCTCCTACAACGGTGGTAGAGCACAAAGCACATCTGCCGTCTTGATCTGCTCGATGTCAACACGCCAAGTACACCTACACAGTATGTGTAGCGAACCAGGCGGGCGGGTAGTGCTGGATAACCTCTTGCCATTGGTCCAGCGATCCTTCACTTCTTCTTCCATAGGCACGATATCGTGCTAGCAAACACCGTTCGCTAGGGTATGGGAAGCCATCGTCGTGATGATATTCTGTTTAGCAAAAGCCAGATTGACGGAAAGGAGCATCGAAACACAGGCGCCGTATACACTTTTCTTCTTCTTCTTCTTCTTCTTCTTCTTCTTCTTCTTCTTCTTCTTCTTCTTCTTCTTCTTCTTCTTCTTCTTCTTCTTCTTCTTCTTCTT